GACCACCTCTCCAAAATTTCACCTTTTTTCTCTTAGCAAAAGTCGTATTGCATACAACTTTTCGGTATTTAGATTAAAACGCAAAGCCATTTCAAACAAATGCAGATGCCTAGAAAAGGATCATGTGCAAAAAAAGTTGTGTTTGTTTATAACGCTGGTTTCTTGATCAGTGCTCCTTCTTAGTCGTCTCTCTCATCAAAATAGTAAAGCATCCTTTACTAATGCCGGATGCCAGCTTACATTTCATCCCAGCTGCTTAGGCAGTCAAGCTTTTTTCCAAACAAAATGCGGAAATCTAGAAAACGATCATGTGAAAAAAAAGTTGTATTTGTCCATAACGCTGGTTTCTTGATCAATGCTCCTAGTCGTCTCTCTCATCAAAATAGGAAACCATCCTCTACTAATGCCGGATGTCAGCTTACATTTCATCCCAGCTGCTTAAGTCAAGCTTTTCATTATTATTATTGATATTAGAGCCTTAGCTGAACCACTATTGCATTTGAATATCTGACCGTAAGAACTGAGACTGGTTCTGTGCAAAATGATAAATCAACTTACTTTTTAGACGACTGCTACATTTTCGAAAGAAGATTTGTAATTTCAAAATGCAAATTTCTTGATCAAAAACAACTTATACTCTATGCACGAACGATGTAAAATTAGCTAAGAACCGATCACTGCAGATTTTTGAATGTAAACTGTTCAACAGCGCAGTATCACATAAAAATGGTAATGGATTTTTGTAAAAAGTCAATGAACCGAGCAGATCGGCGCAAAAGTCTTGGGTGACATCTGAGGAATGCTTCGTACAGATGAAGGTAAGCTCAAAATGGCCTTCCAAAAAACAGGGTTTCGGTAGTGGTTTTGTCCAACAACGCCTATTATATGGAAGCAATGTTTGAAGTGGGATCAGAACAGCCGATATTTTAAAAAAGCAACAAAGCCATTTCAAATTCTGGCAGACGCAAAAACTGTCAGGCAAAATTTGCTCATTTGGTTTTGCGACTCTCTTGTTTTGATTCTTTGGGAGCTTTCGACCGTTACGGTGCTCATAAACCCAAAACGGTAAACATGTGGCACCCTTTGTGGTGACGTCATCGCTGCACATAGCCACATGTTTACACTTGATGGGGGCCCTGCGAACTATTATAGTAGATGATTTTAGAAAGAAATAAGCGAACATGTTTATTACAGTGGAACACTCTCTTCAGCCATTTGTTTGGAGCTCAACCTTTAGTGCTCTTACTAAATGACAAATTTTATTCTTTATTTCTAAACCAAAGAAAAACGCATTCAAGCTAGAACAGCAAGCATTGTTTGTAAGTTTTGTACTCTATCTTTTGTGGTCAACTCTGCCCGATTGTCGGGCTATAATGTCTGATTTCGGTTAGGCCCCCGCCAGAGCGCCGAAGTTATGCCAGCGCTACGCCAGCATTTCGATCGATACACGTGTATTTCGTTGGGGCGGGGCTAGCTGACGTCTCCAACGAAATACATAAATATAAATATAATATGTATCGATCGAAATGCTGGCGTAGCGCTGGCATAACTTCGGCACTCTGGCGGGAGCCTTAAAATATGAACTAAGTGGAGGTCAAGCGAGTTTTTGCTTTAACAGACCAAAGGGTTTCAGAAACCTTATTTTGAGCGCGAAGGTTCCCAACCTCCCAAAACTATATGTCCGCAACCGCAAAGCTGATTCCACGTGAAAGTCGATCACAACATAGGCTTCATGATGTAACTTTTGATCGATATCTACATCAAAGCTTGACGGACGTTCAACATATAAGTGCTATCTCTGAAAAGGACTCAGATCACTTGACGTACATCCAAGTCCAATGGGTGAAAGCAAATTTTTGGTTCCAGGAGTAGGAGATGACACGGTTATTGAAGATTAACAATCTCTTCTATCATTTTCACACGAAGATTTTCTTTCTTGCCGTAGAAGTTAGAGGAACACTTTTGATCAAGACCACAGGCAGTCTTACTTTAGCATTCTCTTTTATTTTCCCCAGCCACATCCTGTTAGGCATCATTATCGCAGGCACTTTGCAAAGTAAAAGCGACTTGCGAAGAAAAACACCTAGATTTCTAACGTAGGACGTCCCAGAGAGATGTTCCCACTGTTTGATCGCTTACGCCTCTCTTATCCTAATCTCTTTCGCAGACCTTTGGTGTCCATTCTGACTTAGCTTCATTTCAGATACAGTACAGAATGATCCATCGTGCGCTCTCTTCGTAACTGTAGGGTTACGATAGGGGAGCTTTGGAAAAAAATCACTATTGAGAATGAAATTCTTTCTAAAAGCGATTTGAAGGAGAGCAGGAGCTAATTTTCCAAGTAATAGTGACATCCATTCACATACAATCAATGTGAGATACCACCTTTTGTACATCCAGCATCCCAGAAATTCAAAACTCAAACACATGCTGTAACCGCTTCACAAACGTTTAGTTATTTACTGAGAGTAGAACCTTCAAAATCCACTACAAAAAAAAATCAAATGTTCTGCAACCGTTCCAAAATTGCAGATACTTTGCAAAGTCATCGAATTGAAATTTCTCATCGTAATGCATCAATGAAAAAGCGGATGAAAGAGTAAACATTGAGGTCCTGTATAAGAAGGTGAAGGAAGGAACACCACATAAAGTCAAACCAATGTTGGTGAGCAGTAAGAGATCTCGAAAGTGTATTAGGCTATGAAATCGCATCTTACATAGCTCAAAACGCTGGATATTTTTAGAGAAGGTCAGAGATAACATGTTCGTTACAATACAAAAACCCTTTTTGCTATCTGTTTGAAAAGTAGTTTTGATGTTTTCACAGACCGATTTTTTGCTGTCGACAAAGAAAAACAGGGCGATGGGGCTACAGGGCAACTTTGTAAGCAATCACTATCCCATTCAACTGCCAGATCGTAGAAATTGAAACACCTTGAATTAAGTTCCTTTGGAAATGACATGGATTCTGCTCAATCAGATGGCAGCAGCGACAGATCTATACAGAAAGAGCATTTTTGGATTTCGTTACTTTCTCAGGATTGAAAATAACGATACTGCGCACCTCACTTAATAAAACTCACTGCTTAACAGCAGTAAAGGGAACGCCTACCTTTGTTAGACATTTCCACCTTGCTTTTATGATGAATCTTGGTAATCGACAATCAAATATAGTATCAATGCACATATAAATCTTATCTATGAGAGGAAGAGGGACTATCAATCCAGGAGTGCCGAGAACAGAATTTTCACCAAGATGGCATGCAGCGGATTGGTAGCAACGAAACCCCCTGCAGGAACTTATTTGTAAAAAAACTAACTTTGAGATTTTGCTGTGGTATCATCGTTCTGGCGTTCAGTTATGTGAAATCTGTTGCGCTTGACTCTGTCAGGTCGCCAGCATATGTTTTCGAAACTCTTCGCAGTCAATTTTCGAAACTCTACGCAGTCAATGTTTGTTGACTGCATATGGAGCTCGCTGCCGTGACGTCATCAGCAGCTTCCAGCGCGGAGGGGGGGGGGGGAGGGCTTCACACGCGGCGGAGGCCACATACGGTGAGTCATACGCTGCGCTTTATTATAGAGATTGAAATCTTACTTTTCCGATTGTTGATCTTTTTGTATGATGCATTCATTCATGTGTGTCTTTGATGGCATATATCTAGGTGTGTGTATGTGGTGTGTGTTTATTTGTATATGTGTCTGTATATGTATATACGTATATCTATGTGTATGTATGTAAATATATGGTGTGCCTATGTATGTATGTATAGTAGTGTTTGCGTGATGAGTGAATATGCGCGTGTATGTATGTAGTGTGTAATGTACTGTATTTTAGTAAGTCGTAATAGTAATCTCATATGCTGTGTGGTGTGTATGTTACTATGGGAAGTATTACAATGGCGTATATATTAGGTTGTCCCGAAAGTTGTCCGGTTTCTTCAAACCACTGTAAAACCACGCACAATAAAGACCTGAGTGAGTTTCAACATGCATTCGATGCAGCTTTTCTTCTCTTTCTTATGGATACAAATAATCTACCATAATCTTGTATGCTTTTTTTGGTAATTGCCAAAATTCTCCACCTGTCAATTTTACCTGCTCAAGGTTGAGCTGATTTTTAAAAATTTCATTACAAAGTTTCGAAGAAGACTAAGTATGGGTCGAATAGAGCAACTCTCGGGCTACAAGGTGGTATTTTTACATACTCCTAATAGCTGATTTTAACTCAAAAAAATTATTTCCCCGGAGGCCTTGGCTTTTAGCAAAGTCATGAAACGCTCAGTTGCAGCAAAAGTATGGAAGCTTTTGAAGTTTCTGCGAATTTAAGCTTGGTTGTTGTTAAACATCATTTATGCAACATAACCAAGTTTAATTTGCTTCAAAAATTAGCTTTTTGGAAATTTCGGTAATTTTACGTGGTAAAACGCGTTCAAAAAGCCGCGGTTTTTTTCAAATAAATTATTACGGACTTGATAAATGTGGCCCACGTAATTTAAAATGGGCACAATGTAGCCAAAGGTTTGCCCTACATAACAGTCACCAGCGCTCGTAAAAAATATCAAGATAAAAATTTTGAAAATTCAGGAAAGTTCTGGCGCTACTGCTCATGCTCAAAAAGCCATTGCGATAACATCGCAAAGACGGGATAGATCAGGGAACAAATATAGTTATAAGAAAAGAAACAAAAAAGTGAATAGAATGACACCTAGGCCATTCATGGATTGGTTTTCTGTGAGGTTTGATGAGCGATGAAAAAAACCAACAAAACTCTCGGGACAAGCTAATAGTATATGTATATATCACGATTGACTAATAATAATTCTTTTAACCGATTCGTATGAATATAGCTTGCTATTTATTTTTATTGTAATAATCTTTTTTTAAGGATATGTCCACGGAAGTAGAAAGAAAGAAGATCCAGTTCCAAGAGCACGTGAACAGGAAAGCTTTGGTAGACTGGGTCCTTGTCACCGAACTATGAAATCCCAGAAAAGAAAATGGATCGTCTATTAGAGGACTTATCTACAGATATATTGAGGTTAGTTTCCATATTGATTATTTATGCATACGACTGACTAATACTTATTAATATAGGTATCCGACATCAAAAGGAAATCCTTTTTCTTGGCCAGCTCCCGCTGGGATTTCAGGTGGAATACTGGCAATCCGTGTAAGTTTTTTTTTAAATTGATATTCTTATTATCGTTATTTTTATTGTTAAATATTATGGTAATGATTGAGTTCTTAGGCTAGAATCACATTTGATTTTCGGCGTATTTTTATGGCCGATGGTAGGAAAACGCTATGCGAAAACAATTCTAAAAAACGGAACAGATATAAAGATAAGTAGGGAACGCACACTTTCTTTGGAGGACCAAGATAGCTTGGATAAGTATTTTATTTAACATTTTCGTACAACTTTAGGCTTATTAGAGTATTTCAGTTTATTCATAAGGAATTCTATAAAAGATGCGTATGCTCGTGAAAACAAAAAATGTATAGACATTACTTCAAAGAAGAGTCTTATCAAGATTGGAAACAACGAGGTATTTTTATTTTAATTAGTTAAGCTGAAAAATTATCACCAGTGTTTCAGCCTGTGAAGCCTGCTGTAGCATCAGTGCTGCTAAACTTGGATTTGTCTTCATGGACAGGATTACCAATTAAAGAATTACTTAGCAAGCAAGAGAAAACTAAAATCCGGGTAAGTATGTATTTTAATAGTCATAAAGATGAACCTTCTATTATTAATCATTATTACGTAATCGCTTTTTTTTCCAAAATGCTTTATTACTTAGCAAGGAACTGAAAAATGCGTTTAGACTGGTTAAATAAAACGTGGTTCTCTCAAATTGCCGGAAATTCATTTGTCATTGATGGAAATGGAAGAATTAGAAGTGGAAAAAGAAAATGAAGGAACTTCAAGCGAAACAAATCCAGAAGAGGAGGGCTGTTTTTATAATTAGTTATGGATTATCTTATCTTCATTTATTTATAAATATGTAATTATTACTTTATACGTACCTATTTATATAAAGGCAAAAGAGTATGACTTTAAATTGATTATTCAACTTTTTCAGGTACAATCGTCTTCACACTTGAAGAAGCGTCCTATCCATGTCATTGAAGAAGAACCTCCTAAGAAGAAGGCTCTAGCATAGCCTAATCAGAGGTTCTGTCATGTTCTAGGATCTTCAAACTGTTTAGTAGCTTTAGAGTTTTAGCAATTTTTGGAATTTATAGTTTTATAAGGAATTTACTGTTTTTGTTTTGAGTTTGCACAAGTTTCAAGTTTATCTAATAAATGTATATAAAGTCATAATAACGGCATAAAATTAGAACTGTCTATGCGACAGTCGGCCCAAGTGGCCGGAACGATGCGATAGCCCCAGTTGGGTTATGAGGTCGAACTTTTACAAAAACAGCAAAAACAAAGAAAATCAAAAATAAAAAAAATCCGTTTCGTTCCTACCCTTATAAGTAAAGGAATTATTACTGGCCCTCCCCGGAACTCCTCAGTAAGGAAGGAGGGCTAACTAATAAATAAATTAAAAATATACTCATCTGAATTGCTTATGTCTTTGTCCGGTGATATCGTCCTGGATGAAGTGGATGAGCATATAGGAAATCAATGGCCGTTAGCAGTAATTATTTTCATAAAAGATACTCAGTTAAAATTTTTATTTTTTTTTATACGCAGGTAAACTTTGCTATAGAGCGCGAAAGTAGTCGTTCTATATAGAAGGGTGTGTGTGTGTGCGTGCGTGTGTGTGCGTGCGTGCGTGTGTGTGTGTGTGTGTGTGTGTGTGTGTGTGTGTGTGTGTGTGTGTGTGTGTGTGTGTGTGTGTGTGTGTGTGTGTGTGTGTGTGTGTGTGTGTGTGTGTGTGTGTGTGTGTGTGTGTTTGTGTGTGTATACTTATATACAATGCTAACTGGCAAACCCGGCTCCGCCCGGCCCTGTCGTTATTATATTCGTAATCAGCATGCTCGATTATACCCCTGTGCCAACTCCCAGCCCCGTTGCTCAAATTTTGCAAAAAGTCGATAAAATCGATATCGATCGATGACGAAAAGTAGCCTATGACACCCGCCGGGGCCCGAAGTGTATGTGTGCGTCATGTTATGTGTGCGTATGTGTGTCAAACAGACATTTAGCTTTATATTAGTTTAGCACATAAGTAATGCAACTTTTTGTATAACATTTGTCTATTTGAACGTAGCGCATTCATTTTTTGGCAATATTAGGAATACGATATAAGCTTCTAATGCACACATTTTTGCCGAATTTTATCTCTTATGTGAAGATTACGGTAGGTTTACGATACTATGGGAACTGAAACTTGGCCTATAGGGCTTATTTGACGTGCTGATCACGAAAATGAAATCCGTTTTGCATGAAAAGGCCTCGTTCGTGAGATCAAAAGATGAATTTCATTTTAGCGACAAATGAATAGTTTACCGCATAGGATTACCCTATAGTGCAAAGTTATAGCGAATTCTGACTTTTCGCAGCTTAGTTATTGACAAATTGCCTTCAAAACTTGACGCATTTGACTTGTTCAACTTCTCAAAGGCGCCCCACCTTAATTTGTGTTTAAATTTCATTTCTTTTTCACTGATTCCAATGTGCCAACTTCTAGCTACATGCTGCCTAAAATTGCTTTTTCATATGTTTGAATCAGGTTTCGTAGGGCTTCATGTTTCCCAAAAAATCGTGAAACCTCGATTTTCAGCAGTTTTCAAAAAATGCTTGGATTTTTTGTATTACTTTATAAAAATCAAACGGTTTGCGCAGGCTTGCAGCATAACTCACGGTCTACATGATGCCACAAAATGAGATTTCTACATAAAATAGGAAAAAAGTTACGGGAAAAGTTGCAAAACTTATGTGCTAATTCAATATATAAGACGTCTAATATTATATGGTAATGTTAGAAACTTACTCAAAAACGATTTTGATTTTTTTCAAAACGGCTTTGTTACTGTCTGTTAGGTTGTGTTTATAAAGCACGTATTTATTTTTATTAATCTTGAAATGTTTACCATAATGAACGAATTACTATATCCATTACCTTTGAGTAATACTCTGAGCTTTTGATTCTGTCCAGGAAATCCTCAAACTCTGAGTAAGTTCTGGCAATTCGTAAACTTTCAGTGTAGATGACAGCACGTTTTATTTTAGACGAAGTACATGAATTTAAATGTATAAAGCGTGCAACGGCACCGTGCCAGCTGGGTGTCAGCTGGCTGGCACCGACACTTAGCTCGCGTAAGTTTTCATACTTTTTTTTACATAAAATGTATCTACACTGTAGAAGTTTACATACAGAGAAAAAACGAGTCCATAATGTTTTCTTTTCAGCTTTTATAGCCATCCGAAAATTAATTGGTCTGCTCCGCAGTCAAAAAAGTTTTTCTGCTTTTCAAGATGCGATTCAACCACTTAAAAAGCTCAGTAAGATGTGAAAAGTTGTTCCATGAAATCAGTCATGCATGAAAACCCTACTGTATATTTTTACATAGTCTAAAAATAATGACGGATCTTCGAAACAAATCAAAAGGGGACTCCGTACGAAGTTTCCAAGATCAAAAAGGACTTCGTTTCGAAATTTTCCCGGTGCCAGCTTGTGCCGAGCTCTGTTAACTCGACTAACAGAGTCTCGGCCGAATTCCAATTCCTCTACCTTAAACGTACCGTAAAGTCACCAGAGGAGCCTTTTATGTAAAGTGGGTATGGTTTCCGTAATCAGCATGCCAAATCGCCTCAACGAGCTCTACAAATCATTACTTATTATATTTTATAGTGTTTCCTAACGTCTAAAAAGCATGATTTTCAAACAAGATTAACTTGGTCACAAAAGTGAAATAAGTTAGCTTTTTTGTATACATAACGAAGTATCCCTTTGAAAGTTTATGAGGCAAGTTCGACTTTGTATGCTTTCAAATAATGGATTAAGAAGTGCTGCCAGGATGTTAGTCAAGGCGTTTTCTACCTCAAATGTTTCAATTCCATTTATCACCACAAAACCAAACCAAGTCGAGGTAAGCTCAAACACTCACTGTAGAATCTTCGAGTTTTATGTTAGCGAATCATATAGAACTAAGGTGGAAAAGCTTCTTCGTTGATAAAGTTGATCGGGTCAAGCAACCCCCCCATGCTCCATTCCTGGTATGAGTATTGAGCTCATAGCTTTTTCTTGCTACATCGGAAATTTGGACGTGAACGCCACAGCCCTAGAAAAATTATAGCTCTTTTAACAGGTCTTCAGAATCAGCCGTCAAACTACGTGTGATTGTAAAGCGCAGTCACAAAAATCGGGCGTACAGTTCTGAAAATTCAAAAACTTTCTAGAAAACGATGATGTCCTTTAGAATGTCACATTAGAGTGACAACTCCCAAACTTCAATCCCCTCCCGCTCCCTACACCTCTCCCTTTAAGGGCCGCATGCACTAACCTCCCCGCGGGGAGGGGATCGCAGCTTAAAAGAAAGCTTTATATTTCGAAACTCCAAATATCTGGATTTCACGTTGTGTACCTATCCGTAAGTATTCCTACTACCCTTCACTATGAACATGTTGAAGAGGAGCGAGAAGTTGTACGAACCGCATTTTCCAGCTTTTGTATGATCCCTGATGATCCCCGGCGCTTTTCTTTAAAGTCATTTTTCTTTCTCCGAAGTTAACAAAAACCTTCCAAAGTTGTACTGAACATCTAACGCAACAGTGCTAAGCATGTTGCTGATGAGAACAAATGAGTTTTTGAAAAATCGAATTTTTCGGTAAACCTCAAATTTCAACCTGTGGATCATCGAATATTTCATGACTTCAAAAATCATTTGTTCTTATCAGCAACATGCTTAGCTCTGTCGAGTTAGATAATCTGCACAACTTTGGAGGTTATTCGTTAACTTTGGAGAAAGAAAAAGACTTCAAAGAAAAGCGCCGGGATTATCAGGGATCATACAAAAGCTGGAAAATGCGGTTCGTACAGCTTCTCGCGCCTCTCCAACATATTCATAGTGAAGGGTAGTAGGAATACTTACGGATAGGTACACAACGTGAAATCCAGGTATCTAGAGTTTCGAAATATAAAGCTTTATTTTAAGCTGCGATCCCCTCCCCGCGGGGAGGTTAGTGCATGCGGCCCTAAGTTCACTTGTTATGCTCATCTTATGTAAAGCTAAATGTCTGTCGGTATCATTCGTATGTATGTATTCTATTGAACCGTCCAAATTGGACTTTGCACACATACACTCCGGGACGGGTCAATGTCATAGATTACTTTTCGTTTGTAACCCATATCATTTTTGATCTTTCTTAGCAAACTTTGAGTCATGTTTTGATAGGTGGGACAGGGTGTGTGTGAGCAAGCTGACGAATGGAAACATTGTTTGAAGATTACCCCCGCGCTCATCGATTTTTGCGAACTTTGAGCTAGGACGCTGGGAACTGGTATAAGCGAGAATACCGATTATGCAAAGTAAGGAAATGTTATGCTCAATGCTATAATTTAGATTCGAGGGGTGCGAGAAAGAGGTGACACATAAAAGTGGATGGTAACAGAAAATGTTATGCAAAAGTGATATGAGTAGTTCTTATCGTATTTTGGCAGGGACTGAGCGAGCTGGATAGGCCAGCTAGTGATCTTTAATTTTTTGAGGCTAATCTCAAAAAGGCTAGCCCCCCCCCCTTTACGCTTCCCTTATCTGTTCAGAAAACAATTCTTCCCTACTTTCGTACTTTTGTGCTCGAGTAGAACTGGCAACCTGTAGCTAAACATTCCATTGATCCAAGTTATTGAAAGGAGGAAACTGTAAAGCGCAACAACAGCATCACCTGCAAATTTAATGATTGCTACGTTTCGAGACACGTTTTCTGAGAACATGAAAGAATAGTAAAAATGAAGAAGCCTAGCAGCTGTGGCCACATAGGCTTAGCTTTCTTGCGACTGTGCGAGCAGTGTTACTTAAGTGGTATACAATAAGCTGCTATTGTTATCGGCGCTACTGTCAGAGTTCTCACACTATACCATAAAATGCATAGGGAGCAGACATAAGATTACTAGTTTCACACCACTTTAGGCTTCTGAAAACGACGAGAAGCCGGAATGTTAGGCCACTATGTAATAAACAGCTTCACCCAAATATCTTGCTGACTACA